TGCAATATTCCTGAAATATGTCAAATTGTTATTTCAGAAATATTACTGTGAAATATTAAATGTACATGACATTTTTAGGTTTCAGGCATATTTCAGAAATGTTTTTGGGACGTTTCGTAATATTTATGGAACATTACAAGTATTTTTTAAATGTTTCCGAAATGTGTTTATGATGTATGGGTATAATTAGAGAAATATTTATTTTTTAAGTAAAAAAAGTAATTCTTTATAATTTCTTTTGCTTCTTAAATAAATATGATTAAAAAATTATGTAAAATGACTCTTTTTTTTTCAAAAATTTAAAATAAATTGTTTTACAAGACCAACTAAGTTTATACTTGAACACACTATATTGTTGTTTCTGAGGATATAGTATAATCTCAATGAAACAAAATAAAAATTGTATAAATTTATTATTAAAACGATCTTGAAATCAAGTAACAATACCATATAAGTAGAGGTAGGTATTAAAAATGTAGATATATCACAAAGTAACTCAATTACACATGTGCGATACCATACGCTACCTATAAAACATTAATTTGAGAAAATTGGTTGTTTGTAACATTTAGGTTAAAACAACTTTTAATTTAAGGGTCTATTTAGTATTAGTATTTATATTAGTATTATGATTAAGCATTAAATTTGTTAAATCATTCAAAAAAGGTATTTATACTCGTTTTATAATTAGTATTAGTAATTCTTTTTTAAACCTAATACCTAATAAGATATAATTCTGCAGTCAACAAAATAAATGGTTACTGAAGAAATGTGTAAGAGGTCAGTTGTGTTCTTTTAAGATATTTGAGTTTTTTATTAATATTTTTACTAGTTAATTTTATTTAAAAATATTATTATTCAAAAATAGGTTTAATTAAGGATATTTTAACGGATTTAAGTCTCAAATTTATAACAGATAAAAAGAAGCAGAAATTTGATACAAATCAGACAGAAAAGAGGCCATTGCTTCCTCGTGGTGACATGTCATTTGTCAACTTTATAATCGGTAAACACTGCTGATACACAAAAATTGTATACAGAGCATGATTTGTACCGAAATATTATCGTTTTCGAGCTTGTTGGAACAAACATATAAACAACATAATCATATGTGTATTGTCAATTATCCTTATCCGTTGTCTATTAAAAACAAAGGCCAAATACGCCATTGATTCATTTTATAGAAAAGAAGAAATTTAATATTTAATTTAAAAGTTGAACCTGTCAATTATTAAGCATAAATATTAATGCTAATACTAATCATAAATCGAGTATAAATGTCCCCATTACATTGTGAAGGTTCAACTTAATGCTTAATCATAATACTAATGCAAATACTAATAATAAGGGAGTATAAATAGACCCTAAATCTTGACAAAAAGTTGTTTGTACATCAGACACGACCTACCTACCAACCGGCATGTATTTTGACCCGCTGAATCCGAATTTCAAGTCTGTTTGGGCCGTCCACCCTTCAATATCGAGTAAATTGTAAAAATAGTAAAAATAAGATAATTAGTAATACAAAAATTTATGAATCGAAACCAAGCATAATTCTTATGTATTTCGATCCGCTGAATACTGCGGAGGTCATTTGAGAACAAAAAAGTTTGATAACAACAAAAAACAGCTCAAAATCTGAGAAAATCTTTCGCCTCATTCAGTTCATACAACAGTTTTTAGAGATATTGCAAGGGTGGATATTGAAGGGTGGACGGCCCAAACTGACTTGAAATTCGGATTCAGCGGGTCAAAATACATGCCGGTAGGTAGGTCGTGTCTGATGTACAAACAACTTTTTTTTTGTGTGCCGGTGATATGATAAAATTTGGTACAAACATCCTTCATTTTAAGATTGATTTAAAAACGAAAGAGAAAGAAATGTATGTCACTTAAACATGCTTATATTTTCATTTAGGATTTTAGGATTATAATTACAAAAGCGCCTATCTCTTTTCACCACTGTATGTTCCATAGTTTTTTTTTTTATTTCTGTGATATAGTTAACTCATTTTACTTTAAAAATGTAGCTTAGCTCTTTTCACCACCAATACGAGATTCACTTTTTCTAAAATTTTATATTTTATTCTTCTTTAACCAATTCTATAGTATTTACTTACGCTTTTTTATCTAGAATTTTAATCCAGCACACAGCAAACCTACAATATAATATTTTTAAAATGTATTTTAAGTGATTAAAAATATTATTACACATTATTACCATCATAGATAAATTAATAAAACAAGATGAATTTTTTAAATGCACGCCACTGTCAACACGTGGCAGTTCCCAGCATACTATTAGTTAGCGCCACCGTCGCAATAGTATGAAAGCGATGTTGCCGGTTTCCGTAAACTTTCATGAGATGAGAGTTATTTCAAATTCATCTTACTTTAATTTTTTATCAATCTACATGCGCACCATAGCATCCATACAATGTCCATACTATTGCTGGGATTTTTAAAAGAAGGAGTTGACAACCTCGTAAAAAATGAAAAACCGTGATGGCGGAAGGCCAAATATGATAATGAAATGTTAAAACTTATTTTATGAATTATGATAAAAGTTCTAAAGATCGGCAAGTTATTTTTAAGAAGATAAACAGTGTTGATTTGATGTAATTTGTAAGTATTAGCAATTTAATTTAATATTAAAGGTGTGTAGATTTATTTAAGGACTTTGTTTATCATTGTTTTCTTAACCTTATATAATTTCATATTTCATAGATTTTCAATTCTGTTTTTATATTTGAAACAAGAAATGTCTGGCCCGGGTACCGGGTATAGTCAAGTATTCTCAAGAGTATTCTTGTTCAGCTCCTAATTGTTTAAATAAGTATTATTCTAAAATTCAGAAAGTTGGATAATCAAATATTAAACCTTTTTCATTTTCCTTCCCATATTAAAATTTGCCAGAACTGGTTTGAGACTTTAAATTTAACTTTAGATAATAATACTCGCTATCTTTGTGCGGACCATTTTTGCCTGAGTCTTTTAGTAGGGTTTCATCAAAACGTAAACTGTTAGTTGGACATTCTGTACCAATTTCATTAGATAATTGTGCATCCAGTATCCAGTTCCAATATACAACCTGAGAATTAGATTTTAGAATAAGTTGAGGCCGAAGCACAAATATAGCAGCATAAGAAAAACAAGAAATTAGTTGCAAACTTAATAATTAGTGATGAACAATTTGAACGACTCTTGAAACGAAGAAAAACAATAAATAAATAAAAGTAGTCAGAAATTTAAGTCCTAAAGAGAAAAAGTTGTTTTTTATTAATATTTGATAAGAGGAATTGTTCAATAAGACATATGTACACTCTTTGTTTTGTTTTTATAGGAAACAGGGGCACCCAACAAAATATGGTCCATTTTTCCAAAAATGGGGGAGACTACCTACTTTTCATTTTACTTACAATTGTTATTTACTATTGAGCTCATGTATGTATGTATTACTGTATAATAAATAATTAAAATATATGTTTCAAATATTTTATTTTAATGTAAATATTTTTTGTTTATATTTTTTGGGGTTTAATTACGAAAAAAAAAACTAATATTTATGTTAAATGCATTATTTTGATGTAAATATTAGTTTTTTTTTAGAGTAATGAATGCCAAAAAAATGTAAATAAATAATAAATTATATTTTAATGAACCGCGGTTCGCTTAAAGCTCTTCTTTTTTTATTCTTCTCTTTCTTATTCGGCCTCTAACTGGCAAGTCAATCAGCCAGTGTAGTTAAAAAAAAATCCGTTTCATACTAATTCGCAGCACTGTTTGTTTCCAAAAATTAACACGGGATCCGACTATCTTCTTTATTAATTTATCTATGCTGACCATGAATATAGCATTTTGCTGTATTGTACATCATTTTCAAAGTCTGTCCTGCATTTGATCTTGTGCAGCAAACGTAACGTACAGCAAAACGGTATATGTATATGTCCACTGAAATGCTGTATTTGTCTAGCAAAACTATTGTCCAGCAACGAAATATATAATTTAATGCAATTAAATCTTTTTTCTTTCTTTTTTCATATTTATTTTATTTTATAAATTATTTTGTTATTTTGTCTTAATAACCTAAAATATTTTTTTTAATTTGTAGATTTTCGAGAAAAAATATACTGTACAACTACTATTATAAAACATTTGGTGTAAAATGTAGGTAGTAATTGTTAAATATATCTTCTTGATTTATCCGTCATTCTTTTTTTTATTGTAGTTGGAAATTGAAATATTTATTTTACATCAGAAATTGTAATCTAAAACAAGAGATAATGAATAAGAATAGTAGTTTATGCAACAAGAGTGAATATGCAAAATCCACTCGAGTTGTACAGTATATTTTTTCTACGACCCAATAACGAAAATTTAAAGTGTAATTGCATAGTGTAATTGAGTAGTGTAATGACACCACTCATTACCCCATATACCCAGAGGTGTGAGTACTTCTCAGAGAGTAATAGTAAGTAATAGTAATTACTATGTATATCATATAATGAGTTTAGTCTAAATACATCTCAGTGATTACTATTGTGGCATAGGAAAAATAAGTCCATATCTAAACACATTTGATTCTCAACCGCCATAGCTAGAGTTAAGCGCTGGTCTTCAGCAGACACTGGTCACGTACACATTGGTGGAAGTGGTAGAACCGCACCCTTCGCGCATCTTCAGACTTGTATATTATTGCCGCGTTTGAGAATCCACATCGGATGCATCTGAGATGTAAAAAGTCTTTGATCACGTGATTCAGTATACGTAAATGTAATGGGACAGATGTGTCCGATGTGGATAAAAAAACGCTCGAGATGTAAAAAATGCATCCGATGTGGATTCTCAAACGCAGCATATGAATAGTGGAGGGAAGCATAGGAGAGGTGGGAATTTTTAGAGAGGGTATATAGTAGCGTGCATATCCAAATTAAATCAGTTAAAAATCGTGAGTTTTAAGTTCCATTATCTAATAGCGAAATATCCGTAAAATAATAGACATGTATAAGTGTAATTGTGGTTTAACATTTACAAGGATAGATAATTTACATCGACATAAAAATAAAAGTTGTAAGATGATATCTAATCGCACTGGTGAATCATCCAGAGGAACGAAAAGATCCGTCACTTCCAGCTCTGATGTTCTACCCGTAAAAAATGTCCGGGTAGTGCGAGTTCCACAAGTACATACGCATCGCACCGTAGACTCACAAAGGAATAATGGGAGATGTGAATCATGTGATGTAGACATCCCTACTAATCAGATGTCATCGCATATGAGGAGTCTTGACCATAAAGAAAAAGCCTGTACAATTCAAGGCGATGGTATATGTTTAATTCAGATTGCGTTTAAGTGCAGAATCGCAAGTTACAGAGTCAAAAGTGATGAAAAGCATATAGATTATACAGGGTGTTATTGAAATACACGTACATATTAAAACTGGGTATTGCGCAGATCCCCACTGAATATAGAAAAATATTATTTTTTAAAAATACTCCATATTAAGGGAGTTATTAATTTTTGAAAATTAATTCTAAAACAAACGTACTTCACTGATATGTTGAGGATGACCTATATAAATTAGGTTTATTTACCTATTTTAAACATCAACAGTAATTAATATGCAAGTTTTTGTCAGATGATAAGAAAACTAGTCTTGTAAGAAATAACCATGTTGCCAAGATTTTCGAATTAATTTCTATTTCCGAAGACTGGTTTTTACTACCCTCGTTATCAAAAAACTAGAATATTTGATAAATGATTGTTTTTAAACTATACATTTTTGAAACTATAGATTATTAAAATTTTAGTTGATTTACGAATATGGCTAACACGAGCGCGTCATTTCCAAGTTGGTAAAAAGTGTTGTTACGATTACTTTTAAATATTTTTTTACGATGCCACTATTTACGAATATTGAACTAACGGATATAGTGCTGGTTTATGGGGCAGCTGGAGAAAATTCTCGGCAAGCACAAATCCTGTATCGCGAACGGTTTCCAAATCGGAGAATTCCGGACTGTCGTACGTTTATTTCAACTGTTCAGCATCTAAGAGACCATAGAAAATTTGAGAGTGTCAATGCAGATCGAGGGAGAACAAGAACACAAAGAACATTGGCGGCCGAAGAAGAAATATTGGAAGCTGTTGAAAACCGGCCTCAATTAAGTTGTAGAAGACTAGGTCTTGAAATTGGAGTGTCCTCATTTGTTGTGTGGCGGACACTTAAAGAACAAGGTTTACATCCTTATCACATCCAAAAAGTCCAGGCCTTATATCCAGGTGATGAAGAAAAGAGAGTGGAGTTTTGTGAATGGATGATTCAAAAATGTGTTGATATTCCTGATTTTCTAAAAATATTATTGTATACTGACGAGGCTTCATTCACTCGTGATGGCGTGTTCAATATGCACAATACGCATATTTGGAGTGATGAAAATCCTCACGCCATTAGGGAAACTGGGCATCAAAGAAAATTTTCAATAAATGTTTGGGCTGGCATAATAGATCAGTATTTAATCGGGCCTTATGTTCTCCCGAACAGATTAAATGGGCCAGGATATCTCCACTTTTTAGAAGATATTTTGCCAGTACTCCTAGAAGAGATACCGTTACAATTAAGGCAACGGATGTGGTACCTACTAGATGGCGCTCCTCCGCACTTTGATTTAAACGTACGGCAGTTTTTGAACATTAGATTTCCTCAAAAGTGGATAGGCAGAAATGGACCTACTAAGTGGCCTCCAAGATCTCCGGATTTAAATCCATGCGATTTCTTTTTGTGGGGTCACATGAAACAACTGGTTTATAATGAACCTATTAATAGTGTTGAACAATTAACCAATAAAGTTAATGCGGTAGCCGAGGAACTACGACAAAATCCAAGACTAATTTCTAATGTTCAAAGTTCTTTGGAAAGACGATTTCAAGTGTGTGTAAATAATAATGGACGGCATTTTGAACAATTACTGTAATAAACTTTATTTTGAATTAATTGGTTTTGCTACGGCAACAGTGCAATTTCTATGGGTAAGTTCAATTTCGATTTATTTTACTTCTTTAAATATGGAAACTAGTAGGTCGGAAAAGGGGACTCTTCCCCAATATTTAAATTTTAGAATTTGAAGTTAAAATTGGTGCCAATCGTTTTTGGTCATTACATACTATTCCCCATTTTAATATGTACGTGTATTTCAATAACACCCTGTATAACATTTTTTGATGCGATAAAATTTAGAATATTGGAATTGTTAAAAGTTGTTCTGAGGGCTCATAATGCCATTAAAGTTAATGTAGAGGTCTTCGCTACTTACGTATTGCAAAGTCAAGATATTTTTTTAAATTTTACAATTTTTAAAGTTCAAATCTCGACGTTCTGTATTTTAAGATTCGTTTTAACAACGACAAAAACACCAAACTAAATCTCCTGAAAATCCGATAAAGAACTTTTCTTCGTGTTTCAGCAGATCCTCTCAACTTGGTCGAAATCTAAAATTGATCCCACAATGGTCCCTAATTAATTATAAAGAGAACGTTTTAGCAGCGACAGTAGATTTAATTGAACAAATCCCTCCTTCAAAACCGAGCTTCCCCGGAAACGATGTTCTTATTTGTGTAAAAACAAAAAATCTAGTTCCAGTTCTAATGAGTAATTAAAAATCTTTTTTCCAAAATTAACAGGAACCTTTTGTTCTCGATTCGTGGCTAATTACGCGGCCAAATAGAGTGTTTTATTTTTCGCCGAGCGCCATGCCAGCACAAAGTCTGCTGGAAAGCTTGGAAAATGCATCCTATTTTAGAGTGTTCAGTAACAGCTGCGGTAGTTTGGAGAAAAGGTTGTTAGGACGCCCAATTATACACTTCATTATTACATTTCGACGATTCCCACACCGAACGTTCTAAAATTGTTTAATAGAAACCGTTCATATTACTTTCTGTTGTGTCTGTTCTTTTTAGCCATGCGGTAACTGTGCGAAAATTGCTTGATTAAAAAATAATATTTTTAGTAAATACTAGAAATAAGATATCATTATTTAAGTGAAAAATATCAAATATAGTTTTATATTAAAGTCGCAAACCATTTATTGAATATTGAATATTAAAATGTATATGTAACTATCAGTTTCTGCCACCTTGGGCATCATCAGACCTGAGAGACAACAAGTATTCGTAAAAATTATAAATTAATTAAAGGAAAAGATATAACACGTGATGTAAATATAATTCACCTAAGTATTCAAATTAACGATCAGCCTGTAAGCACAGTTTATTGCTAAAGAATCAGTTAGCTCACTTGGACCAGTTGAATGTTCCAAAATAATATTCACTCCAGGGATACAAATTCAGGATGTGCAGAAGACTGCTGTTTGAATATAGGCGGTTGTCATATATTGTATTGGTTATGATTTGATTCTGTATGCGCCAGGAATACAAATCCGAGTTGCACAGTGTATAAACTGGAACATTGAGATCAAAAGTGCCGACGCAGAGTGAGCGAACTGATTCTTTAGCTATAAACTGTGGTGTAAGTATGTGAAGAGAAAACATTCGAGTAAAGGCTTCCCTGTTCAATATACTAAAGAAAATTTAAACAAAACTTTTTCAAGAGGGCTAACAATTTTCTAAAATTAATTGCATAATTTAATAGTAGGCCATGGATAACAATAATAAACAAGTAAAAGTTACATATTACTAACGAAGAATTGGATACCTTGCATATAGGTATCTTTTTATAAAAAAATACCTATAGAGTTTTTTTATAACAGTAAGTTTGTAACAACAGTTTTGTGGCATAAAATAACAATATAACAAACAAAAAATAACAGTATTAAAAAAAAGAAGTAACAAATTTTTAAAACTGATGTTCAAATTGACGACCATTTTCTCTAATTCAAAATTGTCACATCTTTATAATTCTTTGATTGGCGTTTATACTTTATTTTGTATATTTGCTCTAGCGTGACAGCAGCGCTAATTCATTTATGCACTAATGGACTATTTTTACCTATACTGACATACAATTTTTAATAGAATTCGTAATTAAAAAGTATATTTGTTAGTATTTGTAAAACGAGCAAAACATTAATTTATTATTAATATATTTTTTTATGGCTTAAACTAAAAAAAATTAAGTATAATTAATAAAAATCAACAAATAAATATAGGCAGGCAACAGTATTTACGGGAAAATGTATAAGAAGTTGTCTAGGTCTTTGAAGAAATAACCTACTCTGTCAAAATAAAAAATAACATTAAATAACGATTAATAGCGTGAAGTTAAAATGTATAAATAGAAGGATTGTTATTTATATTTTCATGTTTGTTCGAAAGAAAACAGAATGAAGGATTAAAACTGGTTTCCTATCAGTTAGTTACAAAATTGCATTCCAGCCACATACAATAATCAAAGGCAAAAATCTAGTTCTTGTTGAACATTTAAGATTAAACGGATGTTGAAGAACATCGTAAAATTATAATTTATTGTTTATTTAAAACCTTTCAAGTTTCTGATATCTACTAATTCCAGTATTATTATTATTATTATTATTATTACAAATCTAAAGGTACTTTTACTTCTTATTGTACACATATTCATTTATTTCTTTGATTTAATTTCCACTTTGCTACTAAAAATTTTTACAATTTATAATGTTTTTTTTTGCTAGTATTTTTACAATTTTTGGAACAGCAACTCCGGTTGCTTGTTGTATTGTTTTTACCTAGTTTTTTTTTTAAAGTAAAATTTATACGTGTATTTGATATGCCAAAATTACAAAATATCGCCCTAAAATGCAAGAATTATCCGCAGCTAGCACTAGTATCGCATTTGCTTCCCCTACCATGACTTCGCACTGAACGAATAACTGGGAACCGAGATTAGCACAGGTAAGTGATTTTTTGATTGATATTGTACGAGATCTCACTGCGCTTGCGCTTTTGAGACAAGTAGTCGAAAAGCCTTATAAGGCAAGAGACCGTTTTAAAAATATAGCGAAGTTTCAAATAGTAATATGTAAATCTCAAGCAGGTGGGTGTTTGGCTTCTTACCCTAGGTCACAGAATACCTACTGTTACAGAAGCGAAGGCTAGCTAATTTTTAGGGCCCAAAAATTTTTGGGAATGATGATTTTATAACCGATAAAACTGTCATGTCATATGCGAGTGTTGTTTTGAAGACTCAGGATTATTCATTTGCAATTTGTGATTTTTTTTCGAATTTAGTGTATTTTAGTGTTTTCCTTCGTATATTTTTTAACCATTATTAAATAAATCTGTGTTTAGTAAACCTGTTTTTAATCAAAGAATTTTTGTAGTATGTGCTGAGCTATTTACATATTTTTATTTTTTTTATTAAACCGAATCTAAAAGAAAGAGATGTGCTTATCGCCCATGTCTACCTCGAACGAACTCAAATATTAA